TTTAGCAATTTTATTACTACTCTGGTTATGGACTCCAAAAGTGATTTCTGATTCGTCTGTTATTTATAAGTCTATTAATGAAACCAATACTACAAATGAGACAATTTGTGCGAAAAGTGATGGTTCTATTGAAGTCATACCTGTTTCCTACAAATATATTGATGAAAGTCAAATACCCCTTATGTTTAGCTATGATATTATCACAAAAGTGGATCACATCAAGAACAGGACGTTAGAGCCTAAAGAGTGGTTTTGTACGGCTTTTAATGAACTTATTGTGAGAGACCAGACACCACCACAACACAGTTATATTCATTCAGTATTTGGGTAAATGAGTATAAATTACTTAATTTCTAAATATTAAATATTAAATAATTCAAATGTGAATGAATGGCAGAACTTTTCGAGATTTCGTCACTGGATTGGCACAAATGTTAGGCCAATTTGGACAAAAGACCCTGAACCTAATTTCATGCATTGGTTTCAAAGAATTCATGACGTGTTCGCATACATTGGTCAGGTGTTCAATAGGAATATATGCGACCCTGATCACTGGGATAGCATTCATCCCGGCCTGTATACCCGTAATCATATGTGGAGCTGAATTGGTTTCAAAGAATTCATGACGTGTTCGCATACATTGGTCAGGTGTTCAATAGGAATATATGCGACCCTGATCACTGGGATAGCATTCATCCCGGCCTGTATACCCGTAATCATATGTGGAGCTGACGTAGTCTCATCTCAATGTGTGCAACGATTAGTTCTGGATCATTTAGGCATTCAATAAATAATACATTTTCAATATTTTACATGTTAGAATTTATTTTAACTTATTAAAATAGTTGACTTAAATTTTTTTCTAAAATAATTTGTTCATAACATAAATAGGACAACAAGTATGTTATAAATAATTACAAGTTGTAATTTTCGAAACATATAATCAATATATAAATTGAAAGTATAAAGGAAAAAATGACAGACAAATGACATGCATTTAAATAATAATAATAATTGAATCACACATTAGTTTCGTATTGAAAATAAAATCAAACATTTATTTCGAATAATGTTTTTAAAACTATAAAAAACCAATAATTCACTAAAAATAATACTTTAAATAATACAATAAATAGTTATTTAAATTAAACTTTAAATAATAAAACAATTTTATATTTACTCTTATTCAAATTATTTTTATTAAATATATAATATTTATATTTAAACATTTTAAGAATTTCTTATAAAATTACTGATTGTTACAAATGAATTGGCATTTATTTAATCTTATAAAAAACTAATAAAAACCTTTGTCAAATTAAGCATTTATAAAGTGCACAAAACTTTAAAATGAAAAATAATACGATAAACAACAGTAAATATTTTATTGCTTTTTAATTTAAATTAATAACACAATTAAAACCATTTAATTATAATATATAATTATATACTCAAAAAATTATATCATAAGATAAAACTCTTTTATCACTATTTGTTGTAAAATTCATTCTTATATTAAAAAACTATTTAATCAAACAATCATTGGTTGCTATCATTTCATTTGGATTTGTTATTCTTCTCATCGCTGGAAATGCGTTCATAAATTCGGTGATATTTCTCACTGACAGACGTTAAGAAAAAAGTACCGGTGCTTAGCTGGTCGAGCGGTCCGATCGGCTTATATGGCGCGCTGTTATGCGTCTTCTCGCGAAGATTGAGCGCGTCTTCAAACACTTGAGCCGACACTTTATGACGAAGACTCAATCGGTTGGGAATATCAGCGATTCCTTTGAGCAGTTTTGAGAGGACCGCTGAGTCCGATGTCACTCGCGCTGAGAACATGGATGCCGCCAAACCTGACCCGTAAGAGAATAGTAGGAGTTTCTTATTTGCCAAACGGTCGGCCGGTTCACTGATTTTAATAGTATTTGAGTTAATATTCAAATCTTTTCATGTTTTATAAATCAATAAATACCTCAATAATAATGAGATAAGGCTTCCATAGAGTGATGCCGTATACATATTGCCGACAGTGCGCGCCAACATCAGACTCGGGTCTGTTTTCTGGTCAAACGTTTTCTTGCTTAGAGTCAGTAATAGCTTTTCCAACTCTCTGTCGTTATACGTCTCCTCCAGTTTGATATTTCTATTGACAAATCATACATTAAAACCATTGATTCAAATAAATCATTGATTGACAACAACTTATAGTTTTCCAGTGGTTTATAGCAATCGTTGGACTGGTTTTCAGAGCTCTGCAGATAATTGAGAAGAACGAGTCGAGCGATCGACTTCTGGACGAGTTTACAATACGGGGCGTGAAATACGATGGCACCGAAGCTGTCGAGTGTCGTTCCCTTCGACTGTTTGTTCGCTTTCTCGAAGTATAACTGAAAGCATTTGTCGAGCGCCTGTAGGTAACACATGTTGGAAAGGGGTCCGTCCACTGTCGGGTATTCCGAACTCAAATCGGGTTTATAAAAGTCATAGACGTGTGCCATATATGTTGATCTAACCTTCCGGTCAAACACGATGGCCGCGTCCGGGCCCACAAGCATTGCAATCGCTGCACAACCACCTGTCCCACAAACATATGACAGTTATTTATAAACATATTAATATTCATTACGTATTTAGATTTAAATATTATACAATTTATTAACATTATCGCAATTGATTAACATTATCTCAAATTATTAATAACTTTGTAACTAAATCCTGAAATTTCCTCAAAAATATCTCATCATAAATCTCATCTAATAATTAGTATAAAAATAAATATCCCTGAAGTTAATTTGCACACCATTTATTTTTAATTCTATTCAAAAGTGCTTAGAAATTGTAAACAATTTTAAAGTTAATGAATTTCCTTTTTATTATATTTTTTGTTTAAATTCATAATAATTTATTTCATTGCAATGAATTGGAAATTTTCTGGAAATCTAAGAATTGACTGAATATAACTCAAATTATACATTTTACAAAAATGACAATAAATTTTCTTTAAAAATAAATCATAGAAACAAATTATGTATATTTGGGAAAACATACGAATAAAGGAAATTGGGACCAAATCACAACTTTTGAGTACATTATTCAATATAATTCTATAGCTTTTGTGTGTAATTTGAATTTTTTATATTTTAATGTAAAGTTTCCATCTTATTATAGTATTGTTATATCAAATAAAAGGTGAGATTTAAAGCGCAAAATAAAATTTATAAAAATAGCCCCAAGCATAATGTAATGACAATTGAATGTGTCATGAATAGTAATTAATTAACTAATTATTAATTAGTAATTAATAATTAAGAAGTTATTAAAATTTAAATCAATGTATTTTAGATGAACTCATTTACAGTATTACATAACTCCAATAATTAATACCTTACGACACAATACATTATAGCTGCTGGAAATTATAAACATTATCTCATGTGAAAGCTTAGTCTGAAATACATTTATAACAAAATTATGACACAAAGATTGTTATTAATATGGGAAATGATATGTTTGTAATAAATATGACATAACTTGTGATTTGTTGACAATTGGGCGACAAATCATCATATGATTCATTGAGACTGAGATTACTCATTGCTATTGNAAATACATTTATAACAAAATTATGACACAAAGATTGTTATTAATATGGGAAATGATATGTTTGTAATAAATATGACATAACTTGTGATTTGTTGACAATTGGGCGACAAATCATCATATGATTCATTGAGACTGAGATTACTCATTGCTATTGTTATATAATCTAAATATTTAAATAATCAATCATTTAAGACAAAGCTGTGTGGGATTTGTGATAAGATTTATTTTGCTGTCAATCATTAAAAAGTTTTTAATTTCAAAACTAATTTAATTATTTTAATAAAAATTACAGCACATTCACTAAGTGATAATNATTTAAATAATCAATCATTTAAGACAAAGCTGTGTGGGATTTGTGATAAGATTTATTTTGCTGTCAATCATTAAAAAGTTTTTAATTTCAAAACTAATTTAATTATTTTAATAAAAATTACAGCACATTCACTAAGTGATAATTTGGTTTTGCAATGAATTAAGTTAATATAAAAAAGTTTTAAAATCTGTTTAATGTGATTTCAAAATTAATAACTTCCAGATTTAGTAAGAATGGTATGTCTATCATTAAATCATCACATGATTGTATTGTCATACGATTATTTAATTAAAACAAAAGTTTTATAAGTTGATAATGAAAAACTCCAAAAATAGGTAAAAAAGAAAACTAGTAGTAAAAATAGATGAGTTGTCATATACTCGTAAATACAATATATATATATATATATATATATATATAGTTCCGTATACTTTCCCTTATTTAAGGTTATTTTATATTTGGGTTTTCAAGAAAATCTTCTTTTTCATCTAAAATTATAGCAAATATGTTCAGGGTATTTTGGGAATTAATACTTTGGTCGATATACGCTTACTACTTGGATATCAGGAAAATGAAACTTTGTATTAATCATACCATAAGTAATATTACAGACAATGAAATGTATGACAAACCGGGAATTCCCGATAATGTCGCGTTTAATTATAACACTTAAATACATTAATCATTGACGATATTATCAGTGGTATATATATACCTGTACACTGTATACCGGTATAGATGATGACTTGAATATAGAGTATAAATAAGAGTTTAAAAATCGTACAAACCTGTAGGTCTGGCCGGACCGCTGGCATAAACAGCAATATCTGCGGCCACGACAATGGCATACCTGCCGTCCCACGAACTCGACTCAATCCAATCCCAGGCCCGAAACAGAGAGTCAGTGCCGCCATAGCAGGCATTAGTCGCGTGAATGCCCTCAATGTCAGTGTTGCCGCTCTCAGCGAACAAATCCATTAAAACAGTTTTAACACTTTTTGATTTATCGATTATAGTCTCGGTTCCGATCATCAAAAAGCCCACATCTTTGGGTGATATCGAGTGCTTATCCATTAATGATTTAGTGACAGTCAGACATATAGAGTTGATGTCCTCCCTGTCCGTGCAAAATGCCATTTGATGCTGACCTAAGCCTATTGTGTACTTTCCTTCTCCCACTCCATTAAACTTTTCGAGATCTGTCTGATCGACAAAAGTGTTGGGAAAGTATATATCAACGGCTAAAATGCCGATATTCTTGGGCCAGTGGTGGACGCCCTCCTGGACTGCCGATCCGTTTTGCAATGTATTGATAGGCATCGTTGGCTTCTATAACATAAATA